CGGCGCCCGAGGTCTACGCCAGCCGCCCCCTGCTGCTCTCGCTCGACGGCCCCTTCCCCCTGCTGCGCTCCGGGGCCGCCTTCGCGCCGCCGCTCCTGCCGGGCCTGACCCGGGCCCTCCCCGCCGCCCCCAGGGAAGGGCCGCAGGGCGGGGACGGACCCTGGAGGCCGTGGCTGCGATGAGACTGCGACCCTCGGACTGTAGCGGAGCCGCACGCCATTCTCAGGCCACGGCCTTTGCCGAGACTGTACCGCAGAATATTTATTTCCAGAGACCGTGTCAAGAGTTTATTTTTGTTTTGTTTTGTGAAGAGTGATTGGGTAGCACCAGCAGCGCAGGCCGTGCTGCGCGTCCCGATGCCCTCCCAGGCGTGGGGTCTGCAGAGCCATTCCGCGGCTGCTCGGCTGACCCTCTCCCGGGACCGGCCCAAGAACTCTACCCGTCGGTCCCCCTTGCGGGGGCTGTGCCGCCTTGGATGGAGTGCGAGCAGTCCCACCAGAGGTTCAGGCAGGAAGGTGCCAGTCACTCAGTTTTCCAGAATGTGTTGAAAGGCAGTCTTACAGCATCATTGGGCAAGGTGTTTTTGTTTTTGTTTTTTTCTTTTTTAAAGAGGTTTTTGCCTTAGGGTGTGCGACAAACACAGAGGCAGAGGGAAACTGAGAAATGACTCTGGAAGGGGATGGCCAAGTTCCGTCTTCATTCTCCTGGGATCTTGGGCAGGCAGGAACACACATGCCCAGCCTGATTTTCAAGCCACCGGTCTGGGACTTAAATCAGGGAGGCAACTTGAATTGTGGTCTCCGTGTGAGAGTCCAGCTTCCTAACGGTTATGCCATGTGCTGTTCTTAACAAGTTTTTTTTTTTTTTTTTTTTTTTTTTTTTTAATACCTTTTCCAACTTCTACTTTCTGGGATGCTGTGGTCCTGGGCCCAATTGTGCTGTGCTGGGGTGAGGGAGGATTGCTCCCTGCCCTGAAGCCTCAGTTCTGGCCAGGCTGGCCCTCATCCTGTTTCATTCTCATGGTTCAGTACAGAGCTGCCTGTGACCACCCACGGACTGAGCTCAGGCCCCTTCCCCCAGCCCAGTGACTGCACTGGAGAGGGATGCCAGCAGGAGAGGGTATTGAGGGAGGGTGGTCAGGGGTGTAAGGAGAGGCTGGGAAGGCACTTAGGGCCTGGACTGGACATAGGAGATAACTCTACCCAGGGAGTTAGGGGCCTGCTGAAACCTTCCATTGTCTTGGGAAGGGAGTTTTTTCCCTGGGAGTGAACTGGGAGTTCCTCCCTTACTCCGGTCCTGAGCACTGGCTGTTGGACATGAGGACACCAGGCAGGAAACCAGGTTGTGCTGGACATCCACCCCGAGCAACCCCCGGGCACAGCCGTGCTGCTCGCCAGCCATGCAAGCTGCTAGGGGGCTGTGCTCCAGGTCTGGCGAGGAGGTAGTCCAGGCCGAGACAGTGGGGGTGTCATTCTGAGCCCAGCTCCAGGCTGCACTGAGATCCATTTTCCACCTTCGGCTGAGTTTATCAGCATTTGCCCACTACCTGCCCACCCTCCACCACAGGCTGTCTCCCTCCTCCTCCAGTGGGTCCCCCTGTGTCTCAGCCAGGGTTCACCTGGGCCCTCCACGATGCAGCCCTGCTTACCAGTCACACTCGTTCTCTGGCTGCCTTGCCCACCCCCTGCGCATCAGAGGGCTGGGTCCTGCATACAGGCGGCCTCTTGGGCCTGGTGCTTTACCTATGGGTGTGTCCTCAGTGGTCCTGTTCCTAGGGGAGCCTCAGTAGCTCTTTCTCCTTTAAAGGCTGGGTTCTAGCTCTGTGAGGAAGGATGCTGTTGCTGGTGCTCAGAGCTGGACCAAGCCTGAGAGGCCTTCCTCAGCTAGAGGGTGTGAGAGAATATTTCTGGGCTAGCTGGAAGCCCAGCCTGGTTGGGGCAGGGGAGCTGCTCTGGGAAGGCAGCATCCAGGGAGTGGAGGCCGTGAGTGCTTCAGGAAGTGAAGCTGGGTGTGTGAATAGGGCAAGAGCAGGGCCTGCTCAGAGATGCAGGGAAAGCAGGGACTCCCCACCTGTGTGGCCAGAGGGACAAGGACTGTCAGGGTCATCACACTCTCCTCCTAGAAGATTCTGGGCAGCACCAACTCTCCTAGAGCCCTGGCCTCCCTGCTTTGTTTCCCTCCTTCCTGTTTCCTTTTATCCGTTCTGCAGCTGTTGCCAAAGGGATCATTGCTTAGTCCTCCAGGGACCTCTCAGGCTGGACCACGCTCCTCAGAGAAGCATGTCCCTTTGTACTGTCTGTCCCTGACCCTTTGTACTCACCTTTCCCCCTGGAATTCTCTCCCTCCTTTCCACAGACCATCCCAGTCTCCCTGGCCTATGTATTGTCTGTGCCCAGCTGGATTGGGCCCCAGGAAGCAAGGGCCATGTCTGTGTCTCTCACCTCTGTCCTTACCACCTGCCTGAAACAGCGAAATGGAATTCATACTGACCTGATCAATTGATTCACCTGAAAGAGAGCTGGGAGGTTGGGGGTGTCATCCCTGGGTTAGACTAGGCAGGTTTTAGCACACACAGCCTAGGCTGAGTAGGCTGAGGCTGGCCAGGGGGGCTGCATGGGGAGCACCAGAGGGGCTGTCCTGCCCCCCACCCAGCTGCGCCCTTTAGCAGCTAAGGGTTGCTGAGTCTCAGGAACATCTGAGTACCTCTGCCTGGGTGTCTCCAGCCTCCCCACACCTAGCCCCCAAACCTGGGAAACCTTCCTGTCCTGCCTGCCAACAGCCCCTGAGAAACGCACCTCATGGTGGAAGCTATGATCCCAAGTGTGGGGTGCTGCCTCTCACAATGAGAGGTCTTTCCATCTTCCCGCCCTTTCCAATCTTCTACACATTCATTTCCTGCCCCTTCCCATGCCTCACATGGAGGCCTCTTAGAGGGACGGGTTATCCCATGGGTCATTCCCTGTCGCTTCTCCTCCTCCCTGCTATTTTTATCATGGCTTTTGTCTTCAGACACTTCCTGCTGCCTAATTGACGAAGCACCTTCTGCTGCG